AATAATAATGATTTAAAAAATAGTGTTCGATCCGATGTTTTAGTTCATAAAACTAATAAATAATAAATTGTTCGACTTTGAACTGAGCCTTATTAATGATATGATTCTGGAATGATAATTAMAATATGTAGGTGACTATAACTGACTACAACGACGCAGTACCTACTATCAATTATTTCATTGATCCGATTATGTTTGACTTTAAGCCATATTTAATATTAAATTATAAATGTCAGATAATGCCTGTATTTAGAGTCATAGTTRTTGTAAGTATCTACTTATCTACTTATCTATCCCCATCATATATAATTTTTGTTTGGTTTTAAGCCCACAAGAACAACCAAATTCTATATAATTATGGTATAAAAACAATATATAATTTCATAATTTAACAAAACAAATACAATTAACTCACCATAATCATTTACATTTATGTTATAGTGGGTATTGTCATATTACACACGTTTATAGCTCGTAGTTTAACATTATTTGRCATTTCAAAATAGATTTTTCAATTCTCAATAAAAAGTAATACATAGTTAAGGATACAGTACATCACTATCGCATTTATGTTATATTCACCCTCTCAGATATTATCAGTTTGATAAAAGACATAAAATAAAAAGATTAAATTAAATTAAAATTATTTTCATAAGAAAATATTCAGAAATCTATTAACTTCCTAAGTCATAACAAACAAACAAACGGAAACCAAGCATTCCAATTTTATAATTTACTAAATATTTGGGCAAATAAGAGAAACATCCTCCTCTTATTGATAATAAATATATGATATTGTGACATTTTTCCAGTCATAGTTACACATTTATTATCTGTCATAATTTACCTCATTTTTTAAAAGCATTTTTCACTTATTGCTTTCTAAACTGAATGAAAAACAATAATTGTCTAGTACCTATATTAATTGCTCAATAGTTCCTAATCCAAGACACCTATTCTTAAATGTAAGTGATTACATATCGTCATAATAACATAATACATAATGCATTACTCCCTTAGATAGGTTCCGGATGGAAATGTGTTTTCAGCATGTCAATGTTAACATACTTTTTTTTTATAAACATCAAAATCGTGTTTTATACTTTCCTTCATATAAAAATATTCGTAAAATACTTTTCAATAAACCTTGCACAAATAACGACGTATTACAGCTGCAGCAGGCAGTGATCATAAATATATAGATGCCATCAATTCCAATGTTGACAGTGAGTTTCCCAATAGTAACACTATTATAGTATAATAACGCTATAACCTCAAAAATATTTAAAAGAAACATTTAAACACTGCAAGACCTCACCACTTAGTAAAAAGAAACACACAATCACACAATTTATTATACAATAATATAAAACGAAAATAACAACGGCTGTCTATATAATATATAATATTGCATAGGTGTGACCATCGCATTGGTGTCAGTCAATGGCAGTCCAGCCGGCGACAAGAAGATTGGTACCAGCCACAAGCTGAAGACGACCAGCACGACGACCACGATTTCACCAGCCCGTAAATGCAAGTCTGAGTGTCCGAACGACTATAATCCGATTTGCGGATCTGACGGGGCCAAAGTGAACTTGAGTTTCGGCAACAAGTGCGTCATGGAGAAATACAACTGCGAGCACAACACGAGTGAGTATAGAGGACAATCAGTAGTCGGTATTAATGGACTATTTAAAATATACGTATTATGTACTTCAACACCGCAAAGGCATAATGATTGGCAATAGGGTAATAAAAAAGCGCGCCTGCAAGCCGTCGTGTGCTATGACCTATTAAACGCCTAAACACTTTATGTAAACACCTCGAAATAGCGAACRAAAACCTGGTTAAACTATAGGCTCTCTCACTGATCGCTGAAACAGTAAATTAGCAGAATACCATTTGTTAGGCCCTATCAAATATTTTTTTTTTATTATTATTTACTTATTATTTTTTCTCCTCCCCGCCCTAAAAATTGTTCAACAATAGATTTCAATTCATCCCAGCCCCCTTCAACCATCGCGTTGAGCCATCAAAGCTAAGACAGCACTCGAATTCCAAACGCATTTAATACAGCTACCTATATAGTACCTACGCAAACGGCAAAACTAATTGCACGAGACGTCACTTTATGTGAATATAATATCATTATGTCCGAGTAAAATCAACTATATCGCGTGATCGTCAATCGTCATGCGTTTCGATTTGGAGAAAAAAAGAATGAATTGCGTGCACCTGTTTATTCTAGCATTTGATATTGCATAATATTTTGTGTAGTTATTGAATTGTGAACAAAAATATAAAATACATTTAAAAAAAATAGGCTACATTTTACATTGCGTGTTTGAAGTGTTCAATAGTTTAACTACCTTGTTACCTAACACAAAATATTTTCCGGAATGACTTTCAATTATTTGATATTTATATTTTTCAATTCAATTTTAACAATATTATTAACCATGAATAGTTTCTTAATTATTAAAAAAAAAAACATGGAAGTAATGATATTTGATTATTCATTATTCCCGAAATAATTAAATTGCATTAATAAAAATTACTAATTAATACGCATATAATAAATAATATATATATATTATTATATTCTCAAATCACAAATTCAACGTTACAATTATATATATTATTCGATCCGTGGTTGCATTTTTCCGTCCGGTGTCCACGTAGTGWCTACTTTAGCAACCCAACAACATTCAACTCAGTTAATAATATTATTATCGTCCTGTATCACGAGTGCGTGAATAATAATTTATTGTATTAATAATCGTAATCTAGAACGGCGAACGAATCGTAATTACACCGATTAGTTAAAGTGTTAGGTTCGTGTATTATATCTGTATATAATAATAATATAATGAAACTAATTATAACGAACTTCTACGGAGGGAAGACAAATGGCCTCGGTTAATTCGTCTCGATGAACCACCCCGGCGAGGACGGTATCTACGTTTTAAGCGTTCTCGACAAAATAATATAAGAAAAATAGAACTCATACGTGTGATGTTATTATTATTTATCATGATATGTTGTACAGGCAGTTTTACAATCTAATATATTAACGCTATTTTCAACCCCTTTATCTTTAACGTTTTTATCTCTAAACCGATATAAATCCGCACGTGGTCATAAAAATGTACACCCACGCACGGATATTATACCACTAAACGGGGTACTCGAGGGGCTCATAATATATTATGATATACCACCCGGTTAAATGTTCAGTCGGTCCCTGAAGACATGTGTTYGTTTCGGTTACCTTTATACGTACACTCATTATGATGTCAAAATAAGACTTTATGAGGTTGCATATTTCACTTATTTAAAAATAAAATTTTAATTCAATCCTGATATTATTATTTGACTATCCAAAAACAAACAAACCGGTGCTGGATGCCATAAACCTGAGTATTGACGTGTATACATATAATTTGATTTGATGGGATTTTTYAAAACTACATGGGTTATGTATGGGCGCGTGTATTATGTATAACCTTTATGCAAAATAAACGGCCAAAATGATTAGTCAAACGATCAAATGGGACACTGTGAATTATTTTTATTTACCAATGAAACTTGGTACCCATTTCTTATGTGAAATTGAATTTAAACAAAGAAAACCGAAAAACATATCTTTGAGTAAGTAGGTTACGTTTGCATAATACATTGCCCGAGAGGGGGGGCCTATATTATAATTGGTGAAATCGTTCCATAATACCTATTCAATTTCTTTTGTAACTCTATAAAAAATAACGAACAACTTTTTAAAAGTTTGAGCCCATATTAAATRGGGAATTTAAATCTATAGTGACAGGGAACGCTAGATTTAGTATTTTCTTATAACTTTAATTACTATACTTCCAGTTCGTCAGAACTTTTGAGAAGTTGTATTGTATTTATTTAAAAAGYGATGTATTTTTATCAGAAATGGTCAGTGCAAAAAAAAACAGTTTAATATGTACTATTCGTAAATTGTTTTGTTTCGAAGACGGAAGTAGAGGTTTTTTTTGTTTGTGCCAATTGTTTTATATTATATTAGATAACATACGTAATTCCATGAATGCAGATTACTAATTTATAAACTACTACACCAAAAAAAAGAAAAATATCAGTTACATTTATTGAACAATTCGATGTAAATGTTATTGCTTAAATCATAGGCATGTGCAGATTTTTGAGTCAAGTATGGCTAAATTCAATCCAACCACCCACCCMAGTCACGGTCACACAAGAAAAAATGATTAACATTTGCTCACTACAAACTTCAATATAACCCTTTAGTTTAGAGGGAGAAAAAGTGTTTAGAGAATAAAAAAGGAATAAACATCATTGTAAAACCAATACATTCCTAGCTCCGCTCAGAATCTAATACGATCTGGAATAAGAGATTGCTTACACAATCATTATCTTTAAATTTTAATTCTAGTGCATTTTTACAATGTTAGAAGTATTTTAAACATTGATAACTTCGTATAAACAAAATATATAAGATATACAAYAAATAAATAAATATAGCAGGAGCTACAAGAGTTTAACCCATACAAGTTATTATATAATATATAATATTTAATAATATAATATAATATATTAATATAATAATATAATATATATAAATTAATATAATAATATAATATATATATATACTATAATTAGGTAAATAGGGTAAAAATGACTTGACCTACCCTACACCATTTTACGAATATTACTGGTCTAAACCCATTCAAAAATTAATAATTCAAGAGGTATCACCAATATTTTGAATTATAAAATTATACTTTAGAGACCAAAAAAATGAAATTTTGACCTCATGTCAAACTTATAAATTCTTTCTTTAAGATTAAATGATTAATATTGTATTACGTAATTGTTATGAAATTACCATTAACTCAAAAATAATATCAAATTTAATAGTTTTTTTAATTCTATAAATTTAAATCACATATAGATACATATTGTATTGAATTAGAGCACAGAGTGTCTACTCTAGACTAAATACTCGACGTTTTAATAGTTTCAAACACTTAATTTCAAATTGGGATCGAAAATTATATTATATCAGGTACCTATAATAATGTTAACATATTATAATGTAGAAACTGCAGTGGTTGTTATGCATTCGTTTCAATAATGTGACGGGGCAAGTGAAATCCACTTTGTTCTACAAAAGCATGATTTTGTAGGAAATTCTACTGGTTTTATAGCAAGTTTCTCGAAAACTATACTGTGAAATTTGGCAAATGACTTTAATATAGCATATGTGTCAAATTTSTAATAGAGTGGTTATATGAAACTTTTGAATCGGTGCCTCTAACCAACAATGAGTTCACAAACGAAACAAACAAAATTCATATTGCTACAGTATGTAACCCATAATAGCTCTTTCAGACAATCAGCACAATATAATATCATACGATGCATTACATTGTAATTTCAAATTTTAAGCACAATAAGTGCATCTTTATTATTTATACAATATAAATTGTCATTTGCCCCCAGCTCGTCTAGCGTTGATAATATTATATCAATTTAATCTGTATTGGACTTGTATAACAACAGTCAACAACAAAAACCTCGAAAAATTATTTTAATTGCTTAACCACAAATATGGTTTAAGCACGACGACTTGAACGCATATCGTAATTTTATATACCTATATGTATAAATTATGTTATATTAAATGATTCTACATACAAATCGACCGACCACGGACCGCTGCAACATCAACTGCATATGATTGAATAGAAAAAATAAAAATTATAAAAATTTCAATTCTGTTAACTGTTTACCACTTTCTCCGAGTCACGTGATATCCAATCGAATCGTAAAAATAGACCTTTATACATGTCGGTTGGGTGGAGGGGWGTAACTTGTGTGCTGTGTGTGTGTAAGATTTTTTTTAATGTAAATAAATTAGCAAGCCGAGAAATAATATTCCCGAAAGGAAAAAAGTAGGTCAGCATTTCGGTGGTGGATGTGTTTGTTCATCGGGCAGGATAGTGTAATTTTACTGTATTCAATTTGAATGCAATGATTGCATTCGATAAAAAAAACRATTCTGAGCGGACAAGGGAATCTTTTTAATTTAATTTAATTCATTTCTATGGTGATAAACAAAGCGTTATAAGAACAGCTTAAGAACGATTTATATAATTAGGTAATTTATATAATTATAATTATAATTTATAATTAGGAAATATCATAAAAATGAAACAAAATATAAAATAAAAGAAAAAGCTCAAAAGTCGCTCAAATATTTTGCAATGTCTAGATAAGGACAATATAAATAAACAATCCAAATTTCAAGTATTTACGAATGTTTTTAACCAAAATACAACAAAAAAAACTCCCAAAATTAAAATGTCTATAAATAGCTCAAAAATGGCTAAGATTTTCCGAACTTTAAACCGTAAGGAATAAAATATCCAAAATACAACAAGAAAGATCTCGTATCATTTTTCATTTGAAGCAAYATTTCTGGCAGAAAACGTCGTCCGTAGGTAATTATTTAATATTACAAAATCGTACATTTTTTCTCATTTAACCTCTTTTATTTCGAGTACCGTTTGGAAAATCGAAAAATTGCCTCTCTAAAGTACTAGCTCAAAAACATTACCTTTCATAAAAGATGCTACACTTGATACTTTTGAGCAAGTTTAGAGGGAGAATAAGTGTTTACAGAATAAAAAAKAAAAAKAAATAAACATCATTCTTAAACCAATATATTCCTCGCTCCGCTCAGAATCTAAAACCACGATGTTAAAGCACGAAAAAACGTTTGGGRGCCCTTTAGGGAGGGATTTTGGTATAACCCACAATATAGCTTAACCCGTATATTATAAATTGTTGGCCATTCAATATACATAAYGGTAAATAAATCATGAAATACGCTCGGGGCGTAAACGTTTAAGATGCGTCACAGAACTTCAGTGTATAAAATATGTTTATAAACCGTATTTATATCCAAAACGAGTATAATAATACCTTACTTATTATGTAATATTATATATAAATATATATATATTTATATGTATATAGCGGACACAGATAAATTCAGTCACCGCAATGATTGAAAGACAATATATAACTGTGCCCGAATAATATAATATTATGATTCRCCGTAGGACCCTATAAGACTATGCGATATGTATATATTATTAWACATACGTAATTTAAATAGAAATTTCAGTCTTACAAAATATGTTACAATATTATTATATGTATATTATAATTTCAAACACAAACTCATTAGTCCACGTGGATTGTGAACTTTTTGTTTTTTTTTTTTGCGTGCTTATTTATTAATATTTATGTTACAGAACTCACTGTGAAATTGGAAGCTGAGTGCCCCAACAGCAAAGGCATCCGGCTTGCTTAACTGCATGCACGTCCTATTCAACTACACAGCAATGTGAAATATAAAAAAAAAAATGTCTATATACATTACATATTGGCAAGCAGCACGTGCAGATATCGACGAGGATAATAGTACCTATACCGTTCGCAAGAGAATTCGTCAATTTTTTAATTTTTTCCCCTCAACTTCCGCCCACACACGTACATCATCGCACACACATACACACACACACTTACAAGTATAAAAAAGATCTAGCACGCAYACACAAACACACGTCATGCCAACGTTATTTTAATATTTTATTATCTAGCTATTTTTACTATCACCTACCTATATTTGTAATGATTATTTTTCTTCGTCAGACTCATGTACATGATCTCGTGTACATGTGGATCGTGTATAATAATAATAATAATAATAAATACATAAAATAATTTTAATTACAACGA